TACAAAATGCCAATAAAAATAAAAAAATAAGGTTTTTGGTGCTAACATAATAAAATGTCACATTTTTAAACTGAAAAATTCAATTAACACACAAAACACAAAAAACCAAAGGCCAAATGGCTTCACTGTCACCTTAAGCAGATGCAAACCAGAGGCACCACCAGGTGGCCCCACTGGCCACCCCACTCAATTGTACTAGCATTAGTTTAACATTTCTTCCCGTCATGCACAGCCAGCGACGTAACATTAAAAATCACACAATAAACCAAGATATGAGTGTTTACTTAGGTCTTTATGATTTCTACAGGCAGGTTTACCACAATCGTAGATTCAAACCCTGAAATAATGGCCTTTAGTTTCAGTGTGCCATCCCGAGATTTTTAGTGGCCCCATCTGGCCACCCGGATGAAACATTTCTGGAGGCGCCACTGACGCAAACACAGCTCGTTTTTAAGATTAATTATAATAACTCATATTTATACTCTTAAGAACAATCACTGACCTCCTCATACTGTGGATGTATCAAACTAATATTATAGAGGCTATATTCTTTGTGATGAGAGAAATGACAGGCCATTTATATCTGGAACCAACCCCCTTATTGTCCATCCTTGTGTCAGTGGTAAACCTTAGCCCTGAGTGACAGAGGAGGAAAGACACAAGCAAAATACACATCTCCCTTCCAATTTATTCTCACTTTATGCTCTCTTTTTTTCTTCTCCCCATCACTCTGAATTCCCCCATCTCTATAACCCATCCATTTCCTCCTCCCCTGAGTGCTTTTAGCACCCTGTTGATCCTTTGGAAACCAGTGAAGTGGGGATGCAGTGGGGAGGCTTTTCAACTCTCCTGCTGCTCTTTCCCTAGCTTGCTCTCCCTTTTGCCCTCTCACTGCATCCATATATCCCTCCTCCATGTTTTTTCCACTCCTTACTCTCATGGTGGGTAAAAATTCTGAGCAATGAAGGTGGTCAGAGAGTCCAACAGCTTCCTTGACGATAAAGAAAAGAGTTTTCAATATGAAGCAGGTTAAAGACAGAAATCAACAGGAAGGGAGAGAAAATAAATAAAAAGGTATTTTACAAAAATAGTACATATATAGATACAGTGGTGATTTCAAATGGCCATATAGTTAGAGGAAGATATGGAGGATTTTATATCTGACACTGTTTTATCAATGCTTCAGACAGTTATTTCGAGATGAGAGCAGGTGAGCAAGTGATGCTTTGACAGATCCAGTTGCTTCTTTAAGCTAAAGAACAATTAGATACAAAACCATTGAAAAAGTTTTCACTTTTAAACATTGAGCAGCAATATTTTCATTACTTATGTAGCAGTAGTGTAAAAACACTTAAGAGTTTTGGTACACATGGTCCTCACATCTGGAATAAACTCCCAGAAACCTGCAGGTCCGCTGCTACTCTCAGTTCTTATAAATTAATGCTGAAGACCTTTCTTTTTGATGTTGCCTTTCTCTAAATGAAGTTAATTTCTTTACTGTTTAATCTCTTATACTGCACTGTAATTTTGTTTCTTGTGTTTTTTTTTTTGTTGTTGTTTTTTTTAACTGTTTCTTTTGTGTTTTATTTATTTCTTAAACTGATTTTATGTAAAGCACTTTGATGTGCCCTGTTGCTGAAATGTGCTATACAAATAAATCGCCTTGCCTTGCCGTACACATTGTATCTGATTTAGAGCTTAGGATCAATCTGGAATGCATTCAATCACATGAGAGCTTAGATCTGTCAAAACACAAAATAAGAACATTTAAATATTTTGACATTAGAGCCCATTCAGAATAAACAAACCAAAATCCAACCAAAAAAATAGTTTTGCTCAAATACAGACTCTTGCACTACAGAAAATTAGATGGTATAATATGGTAAACTTGCCTCTTTTTCTTTCGTAGATGGACAGTGAATGTAAAAAAGCAAAATAAAATGATAGAGAGAAGTTCTGAAGTATTTGGCGACTGTTGATTCCACACCATTGTTCTAAATATTCATACAATGCAGTTCACAGGAGAACATATGGAAATAACACTGAATGCTTCCCTAAACATCCCTAATTTAATCAAACTTGGAAACCAACAAGCAATTGTTTCAGAAATAAAAGCATATATACATATATAGCAGGATAGCAACCTGCTTAAGCAGCTTAAGCTATATAATCTTTCTCCCTATGTTAAACATGATGCCAGTCAGCAGTGCCTGCACATCAGATCAGTGCAAAAAGGACCAAAAACATAAAAAAAAGACTGAATAAAGCCAAAAATACTAACTGAACCATGAACAATGTTGCTCCTAAGAGCTGGTTTTTCAATTCTTTTTGTATGTGCAGTTTTAGGAAGCAAAAAAAAAAGTAAAAAAAAAAAAAAAAGTATAGAGAAGACAAGGAGCTGCTAAGTGCAGAATCTTGTTCCCTTCAAATAGAATGGCAGGTTAGAGACTGGTGAGGAGAACTAAAAGGAATGGAGAGAGGTAGCAGCTGTTTGGTTGGGGGGTGGGGACTCTACACTAGAGCAACCACAAACACAGAAACTCTCGGTTGGTAAAGGTTGGGGTAAAGGAAGCATGGTGAGGAGCTGTCATCCTCCATCACCAGCTATCCCTGTAAAGTCGTGCTGCAACCTTAAATGTGTGCGCGTGTAAGAGAGGTGGGGGTCTGGTGGAGACAATAATAGACAGGTACATGTAGCTGTGAAGAGAAATAGGCGGAGGGGTTTCCTCCTGTGCCCATCTTTGACGTCTAAGGCTAACAAGGTTCAGAGGTCAGACTGAAGGGTGTGGTTGGGTTCTGATCCAGAGCCCACATCTGTGTGACGGCTTTATACGTGGACCAGAGCTCCCTGTCAGACATTTTCTCATGCACAATAACAATGGGTGGTTTATTTTACTCATTCCCGTAGCAATTTATA